TTTCCGCGATGCTTCCAAAGCGAACGATTCTCTATACAAAGCCGACCGGAGGGGGCGACGACGGATGCGAACGCTCCTGGTGCCGGAGGCAAGAGTGGCGGCTGTGAACCGAGGGATGAACAGCTTCTGAGATCGCCACCCGCCGCGATTCTTGTCGTCCGCGCCTTCCGAATAGGTGTAGGACCTCGAGCGGTCTGGAATATCTGGCCAGGAACGGGTTTCTCCCACTCGCCGCGAAGCCAGAAAGGGTGCCGGGTCCCTGTGTCCCCTTCCCCGTCCCGCCTCCCTACGTCGTTGCCGCCACCCGTCCTGGCGCCGACGTATATTGATAAGCGGATGTACGTATGTATTCACGTTTGTATGTATGTATATCCAAAGGCGAGTGAATTTATGCAAGCATTTATTCACCTTTGTATGCACGTATGTGTGTATTCGTGTAACGAGATGTGTATGCTTGATGTATGTTAAATGTTTCATTCCAGGTATGACTTTTTTTTACATTGTGAACAACATCGATGAACTCGGTCGTTCTCTGAACGAGGCGAACCAGCTTGAATTCATCACATTTTGCCTCCCCTTTGTCCTTAGCGAACTCCCATACGTATAATGATCCTTGCGAGTGTGACCTGCCTACCTACGTTACCTAAGAATCATTATCATCATTTTCCGGATTCTGGGATCATAATACGTTGGCAGATAGTAACAGGTTAAGTCCTTTCTTGCGGAGCGTTTTGAGAAGCGATCGACTTCCAAGCAAAGCATAAGTTAATGGGGTTGTTGTTTCAGTTGTGTGTTTGCAAACTTGGTCAGCTTCCAACTACTCCAAACAAGTTCTCTGCAGTAGTCGTGGCGTTCCCAAGGATCTGTTCCTGTGAGAGATTGTGGATGATGGGCATCGATCATACATATACCTCGCCGTCGGCTTACGCGCACATGTTCATGGCGGAAACTGTCATCAGTCTCAAACTTGGTGGTTTCAATCATAACCCGAGTGGTTTCCGGTTGAAGCTCTGCTGGCGATTTGTATCGAATCGAACCGAATTACGAATTCGCAGAATCGAGAACTGATGATTGCAAACAGGCTTGTAGATGCACTGGTTTAATCAAACGTGTCGATGAGATCATTCGATGATTGATCATAGAACGACTGTGTGAGATATAAGCGCATTCATGGTCTCAGTCAGTAGTAGAAGGGATACCTTTGGTTTCACCAATGGCCCTTCAGTGTCTGTGAGGGTGGGAGTAGTAGATGAAGTACCTAAATGATTTAGAGTACCATCACGGATATAGAAAGTTGTGTAGAAGTTGTACCTCTCGCTGGTACGAAGCAACAATTGTATCTAAGATAGCGGAATCACTGATAGAAGCAAGAAAAGCTGTGCCAGGACTAAGCTCAGCGTTATCGATGATATTATCGAACACTCTGTTGGCGTTCCCGCAACTGCCAGAAGTATTACTGCCGCAGGTATTATAGATATGGATGTTTCCAAAGCGGTTGCTCAGCATGGATCAATATAGCTGAGAACTCCAGATACTCATTTTAAGCAGAAGAGACAGTTTCGCCACTACCCATGTGAGTTGATGTTCTCGCAGATCTTGTAGCAGCATTGGCTTCGGAAATCGGGAATGGTCCCCGATTTCCATCTAATAGATTCGCCGGAAGGCCATCATCGTTGATGCGATATTCGTCCATGAACCCGTGCGGAATCTCGATTATCACTCCTTGATGTAATCATTCGCGTTTCCAAGAGCCAGTCAGTGCCTACAGTCCATCCGATTCCTTGTTTGCTCGTATCGACACCATCGTAAAGAACTGATACATAACGATCTCGTTTAGTTTATAAACTCTGAATACAGGAGACCCGCGAGTCAGACTTCGACCGAGAACAGACTAGACGATAGACGGAACTTGAGCGAGGGACAGCCAACTTCATCTTGGCACTGAGCGATTGACCTATTAATGGCCAATCTTTGACTGAACACATAAACCTCAAAATGGAAGCTCACTGTAGCTGCTTAAATTCTGTCTTCTGTCCTTGGTGCCGACCCACGAGCCGAAAGGTTCATCTGTAGCCTGCGATATATTATTCTGATATACATGTGAATATCTGTTTATGTACAAACATGTGTCCAGGTGTGTTCGTTCGTCCGTGTGGAGTTGTGAGTCACGAATCCGTCCAACATTTTATCGGGTCGATTCTCACGTCCAAAACAGCGTGTGATCCGAACACTGCAGTGAATATGGCACGCAATGCAATCACCCTAACTGAAGTCAAGCATTAGAACAAAACGGGTAACATTGCTGCTATATCAGTCGAGATTCTGAATCGAATTACGTAGTCTTTCGTGTCCATCCTATCCTCTTTTGAACTCATCAATACAGATATGTCGCTGGATGACATATTATGAGCATCACATTTTGTTAGTAAGCGCGATTCCACAACTACACGGTTTCTCGACAGTGGGAGACCGCCTCAGTAGCTCGGGAGCGGGAAGAGAATTTCCTCCAGCCTTCTACTTCAATCTGTTCCTCATTCCTTATTCCTTTCATATTGGATGGGGAGATGGACGGGGAGAGATCAGAAGATACGTCGTTATGTTTCTTCCGGAACGCGAGAGTCCGAAACGGGGTATGTACTGTGTGGAAGCTCGACCTCTGCTGTCGAATGTAGGTGTGTGTTCAGTTGCCTGCTCAACTGTCGATGGCTGGAGAGACTAACTCATTCGGATTACGACACGTACTTATCACATTACATATAGAGCCTCTGAACGAAAGCGTCGTCGATTCTCCCGGAGCTTGAGAGAAGACGGAATGTCTCCCGTAACGTTCACACGGTACAGGCGTCGACATCGACAACAGCGAACACCTGTAGTATTGCAGGAACGCCGAGATTCTCCCACTTGGCTCGATTCCTGGATTGCAAATGGGAAAAAAAATGGTGGCGCTTTTCCGTCTCCCTCGAAGCAACCTGATGCGGAACAGCGCTCCCTAAGGTCCAATCGGGAGGACTGAGTCTCCGGGCCCAAAAAAGGAAACTTCTTCGGATATCCCCATCCCAACAGCCTTCGTGAGCTCCCGTGTCAGGTGGACCTCGGGGCTAGATTCCTTTCCCCCGGTTTTTGCGAGTTGTGAAACGTCTGATAATCCGTATCCCCCCGCCCCCCCCGAAAACGGGTAGTCGTGTAGTCTACCAAAGCGTGAGGATGCTTAGCGACCAACATTGATCGGTTGTAGGATTCAACCGTAAAGTAGTAGTTTAGTAACGCTTGCGTTCACAACACATCAATATACATTCCGCGTGGAGAGTACTGATGATGACCGTAACAATCATAATAATTCTGGAAATTTCCTACCGATTGCCGATAGTAGCATTTGGCACCGCATGCGATCAGGGAGGAAAGTTAAACGAAAACTGACTAATAGTAGTTTATACGCTGTTTGCCTGCTGGCTGACTGGTCGGCCCGGTTCGTAACATTGGAAAACCACCGAGTTGAACAAGGACGCTCTTGATAAATGTGTGACCCCAGAGGAATTATCTGTCAGTCTCACGTTTTCATGGGAAGGTGCGAACTGTGCTTTGATCGAAGCTTTTTCTCTTTTGTCGGAAGCTCTTCGCAACGATGACGACGATGATGGCCCTCATAGCTGGGAACTAGATTGAGCATGCTCGTCTGTCTGGTGGTTTCGATGCCTGCTTGTTTGTTTGTTTGCTTGCGAGGATATCATGATGTGATCCTCTTTGTCTGCTGTTTCACGGAAATCGGAGCGAAATAAAGTGCAGAGTTGTAGTCATTCATTGAGTCGGTGCTCGAACTCGGTATGCAAAACAGCAAATTAGGAATCAGGAACAGCATCATCGTCTGCCGGAGTTGCTCCGCAACGAAGTTTGCGTAGCCTCACGGCGGGAGTTTCCGATGATATTCCACATCGGTGTGATGATGTGATTCGGGAAGCGAATTGCCGCATGCTGCCGCTGCGTCGAACACCCATCGCGACGATATTCATGGCGAAGAATCGAAGGAAAAGCCTCGATGTCATCACCGTCGACTTCCGTCGATTGAGGGGGAAGACAGTTCCCTCACTCGATCTAGAAATTATTATTATCACCGATAATAATTGCCGAATCGAGAAACTCGACCCGTCCTCCGAGAAATGCGAAACCGGTTTCGATTGTTCGATGATGGCGGGATTTTCGTCGTCATCGATTCGGATGTCGAATGTGTATATCTGTCGAAGGTTTTGACCGAGCCCTCGATTCAAGTCTTCGCTACCGGTGAGGATGTTGGAACAATCTCCGCCTTCAGGCTTCACGTGTTTGAGAAAAACCTTGGAAATCTCACAAGGAACTGTGGATTGCTGTCGAAACGAGACATGGGAGCCGCATGGAAATTCGCGAACTCGGTATACATATACAGTGTGTCGCCATTTGTCGAGTGTACATAACCATAACTGTCATTCACACCATATAAGTTTGGTCTATTTAACATACGTGAAGATGAAAAATGTAGTCGAAGCTTGAAATGGGTTCGGTAAGTTGTTTGTTTCTTCCTTTGTCATCTGGTTGTTGTAGTATGTAGTGTATGTAGGAGTAGTAGTAGTGGTATTGGTAGTTATATAGTATATATACGGTTGTTCTATTCACTCTTCGCGTCCGTCCTTCATTTGTGTCCGCCTTCCCGCTTGACATTCCCCGCCGACAGCCCGAGCAGCTCGCGGCGCTTCCGGAGTAACTTTTTCTCCGAGATGAAGAATCCGATGCAGGCGATTCCGTGTTCACAGCAGCAAAGGCAGCGCTGACCGCCGTATATTTACAGTGTCGGAGAAAAATCGGCATGCGGTCGCGTCCCGGGATTCTTTCGAGACGGTATCGGCGATCAACCATTCTCGATCCGATTCGCTGAAGGTACTCTCTCGATATAATAGGACAGGTTCCACATGAGTCAACGCTCTCGCAATGGTGAACAATAGGAGACGACACTCTGATAGTACATTATTAAGTTATTTGAAGAGAATTTTCCTAAATGCCCTCCTGAAATCTCTATTGAAAATTGTATATATAATAGGGTTCACAGCCGAGTTGCAGTATCCGAGCCAGAACGCTACGGCAAACATCGTTTCGTTAACTTTACAAGATTCGCACAGTGCGCCCAACACGTAGAACAGAAAAAACGGCAACCATGCGAGGATGAATGCAGCCATGATCAAGCCAAGAATCATCGTGGCACGACGTTCTCGGGCCTTCGCAATTTTCTTGCGGTTTCGCTCAGCTTCTGTCTGCAAGGGGAAAAAGGAAGGGTGTTTATATTCTGGAGTATGTGCTCAATTCGAGCCAAGGAGGCCCAACGAGTCAGATCAACGCGCGAACAAAGCGGCGGGCGAGCGCGGGAAAAGCACATCTAGCCCAGTGTCACTTTCTGGAGGTGCTTGTCTGAAGTAGGCAAGAACCTCGAGCTCATCTGAGTGAGCCGTCATGAATGATTCCCGCGAACGAAACTCGAGCGCTCGGGCAGACCTCCTGGGATTCCTCAGCCTTTCCTCACCTGAGTTCTTCGCTGCTTGGCAACGACAAGGGCTGCGTTACTGTTTACAGGAGCTGGAGATGCGGTCGTTGCTGTCGTCGTCGTTGTCGTCGTGGTCGCTATGGGAGGCGACTGTGAAATTATACTTTCTGTCTGTCTGGGAATTTCCGCGTTCTGTTTCCGTTGGCAACCGAGGAGTTCACTGGGCTCTCTCTCCAAATCGGCTCTCGTGATTCTCTGCAAAGAAAAAGACTCCCCCTCTTCAGTAAGAGCTCATTTCGGAAGCATTGCTCCTTCGTGCGCTGCAGAGGCCGCGCGAGGAAACCGGAATCGCCGAACCGCTTGGGTCCCATCAATCCCGTGCGCACCACCACAAACTTCGGAATTCCAATTCGATCCGCAATGTGCTTTGACCGAGCCCTCCATCTCTGTGTCCGCGACCAGGAGAGACTCGGATATCGCCGGAGAATCGAATTGACGATGATCTCGGGTCGGCTCGTTCGCGCGTCGTTAGAGCTGCATCGAAATTTCGAGAGAGGACCTCCGATCGAAGCTCGGAGGATCGGCTCAAGTTTTTGGATTTATCCATCCATCCGCCGCGCCGCAGCTAATTGCTGATTTACTCCAGATCGATGTATTGCGTGTCCGTTGAGCGAGATGTACCGAACAGTGAGTAGATATTCAGCGTGTACTCAGCACTGAGTGTTGTCGCATCCTATGCGACGTCGTGGCGTGTATTTGCTCACCTCCGCCCCGGAATCTCCCGTCGGCCTCGAACTCCGACCTTGCGTGACTCATCGTGTTCAAATATTTGCACTTAATGTATGATACTTATCCAGGCGTGATATTACCTGGCAGCGGTCGCAGAGCTCTCCGCGGCAAAGAAACCCTGTGACGCCCCGGAGCGCTCGCGAGGAACGGCGCTCGGTCCCCCCTCGATTGCGCCAGTACTTTGTGCGAAAAATCGTATCTGCACTTCGTCGTGGGTCTACACGACCGGATCAGCTCCTCAGCGTGGGTCTGCTCATCTCGCCAACGACTAGTCGGTGACTTGTGGAGAGACATGATCTGAATTAGGCGAAGCAGCCTGCGTACGATACATGTCGCTTGTCGACCCCAGCTGATGGCCCGCCTTGGCCGTACGCAAAGCAGACGCCGGCGCTCGTTGGATTTTCCTCTCAATTGTTGGAACGAGTTGTTTTCAGGAAATGACCCGTTTCGTATGCACTACGAGTGACTGTCGTCTCTTGAGTTGAATAGGGCGGTTGGTGGGTCATCTCGTCTCTTACGGAAACCTTATTGCTCAAGAGGGACAGGAGAATACAACTACAGCCGCTCACAGAGCATTGTTCGGCTGCACGAGGAGACTAGAACTGCCAGCCCGAGTGTCGTCCGTTCGAGGTCTTGGATGCCATTTAATGAGTCAGCTGGGCCGGGCTCCACCGGGAGAGCTGTAATCAATACGGCCACATTTTTTTACACATCGCTCTCATTACGTTTTCCGAGCAACGACTCAGCCGGCTTGGCTGAGTAGACGTGGAAAGAGCAGACCGACCGAAATCGGATCCTGCGTCATAATCTTCGAAATGACGTAGTTCCCCCACTCGAATCCTCTCTCATCTCTCTCTCTCTGCATTATTTAGCTATCCGAGGCTCATCGACTTCGAATTCCGAGGAGCGTGACTCATCTGCCTTCGAGTTCAGCGGAGAACAATACGCCGCGCGCAACGCCGAGTTCCTCCACGCTCGGAGTTTCCCTCCTTTCGGCAAAACAGAATTTCCCCGCGAAGTCCCAGGTCGACGGGTGCAACAATCGTTCCGAACACTGGAAGACTGATTCGGCTCCCCGACCGAGGTCGATTCGATTCCGGGAGGAGGAGCGCTTCTTTCTTGGCCCATTTTTTTCCAAAGCGAGACAATCGAAGCGAGTCTGAGGCTCCAGCTAGTTGGCGCCTTCATCTTGCGCCGGCGATCCTTCGCTTCCGCGGTTCTCGTGCCCCTGGACCTATCCCCGCTAGTTTGGCGGCTCCTCCGCAGGACCCTCCTAGCAGTGAAGTTCCTGAACTCGCGGAAGACGACACTGACGCACAGATGATGTATGTTACAGCGTATCAATCTACGTGGCATGAATCTAAATATAACCGAATATCAAGGAGTATCGACTCTATCCTCTCGCGAATTATTGGGAGGGCGTCGGGAAAGCCTCCACTACTTGAGCATGCGTGCTGCACGGCGATACGCCGATCAATGAACTTTCGGAGGAATTAGCGCTTCGATGTTGATGCTCTTCATTTTGTTGACACACCGGAATTCCGAGCAAGATTGCGACGAGTGTGAAGCGCGTGGAATTCAGACGGCCCCATTGAACACCTTCATCGGAGTGCTCGTTGCCTTGGGTTTCCGAACCCATACCGTACGAGCTGTTCCCTCCGATGGAGACGCAATTCCCTTTGGTCGCAACGAGCCCAATCACACCGCATCCCACGACAGGATGTGCCATTTCGATCATTCTCGGAGAAGCTGTGACGTATCAGGGGCAGTATTTCGTTGTCACTTCCAGTCAGCAACGTCATCATGCAGGAAGCGCAAAATGAGTACGAGGGGAGTCGTCCGCACAGCCTCGACTTCCAGCATCGCTGCGAGGAGTGGATCTCGACAACTCAGCGAGGAAGTTTCCGCGGAGTATTCGGAACTCGATTTTTTTCCTGCAGACCCTCTCGACTCCAGTCTGTGTCTGTTCGTCCCACGGATCGGCGGGAAACAGCGGGAAAACACGGGGGATACCACGTTCCGAGCTCCAAGAGAATGAGAATCGAGGGGCTTGAGTCCCGCCGCGTCAACAAGTGGGAGCCATGCATTGTCTTCTGGAGGTAGCCCTTGAATATGGGATGCTTTGGTGACAGATTGATATACGACAGGTCGGTTTTTCTGTCGTTGCCCCGGTTGTGCGGTCTCGCAATCGCGTAATGGGGTCGGTCGGCCGCCGGTCGCTCTGGCTCAAAGCGGGAATAAGGTAAGAGGGTAAGATTGTCCTTCTGTCCGTGAGCTGCCGTGCCATTGCGAGCGAGTTGTGCTCTCTCTCACGCTTAGCTGATTCGAGGGGAGGGCGGCGAGAGCTTTCCAACAACGGCAGCCGGTAAGCAAGCAGGCCGCCGCCGCCGGCAGACAGGCAGGCAGGCCGGCAAGCGAGCAGGCAGGCGCGGGAGCGAAGGAACTCCTGCTGGCTGGCTGGCCGGTTGACTGAGAGATACGCTCCAGCGAAAGCGTCCTCTGGCGGCTTCCCAACGAAGCTGTAATTCCAGCCGTTGCAGGGCACTTCGCGGGACGAGGCCCTGGTAAGGACGGAGGAAAGGAAGGACGGACGCGCGAGTAAAGAACGGACGCACAGACCGACGGGCAAACGGGGGAAAGAGTCGAGCGATCCAACAGACGGGGGACGGACAGACGGATGGATGGACGGACGGACGTACCGACATACGAACGAAGGAACGAATGGAGAGACGAACGGACCGGCGAACGAACAAGCCTTCGGACCAGCGGCATCTTCTCTCCATCCTTTCGTTCCCTCGCTTTCTCACTCCCTCCTAGGTGCTGGCGGTGGTGGTTTACCAACGGTCGGAGCTTAACTCGTCCGGCGCTTTCAACAGAGGCGTTGATTCGAAGGAGATGTTCGAAGAAAAGGCGTCGACCGACCGACCGACGGTCAACTACCGCGTTGGAAAACGTGGCGCATGATATTCGCCGAATGACCGGTGACTTGGTCGACTTACGGAGCACTGTCGGATGCACTGACTGACGGAGCAGTCAGTCAGCCAGTCAGTGCATTCGTATATCTCACTCAGGACGGAAAAACGTCCTACGGTCTCACGACGGCGGAGCCTCTAGGAGCTCGTACTCGGCTCTCGTCGTGTTCACTCCAGCTGCGAACGTCCAGGAGAACTCTCCCCGGTGGCAGGAGCGGATTATATAGATCGCCTTGATGTGGACCAGCTATTTGGACGAACGACCAGACACCTTGTCCACTTACCCACCTTGCTACTCGAGTCATAACCCTAGCTCGGGCATGAGACTCCCTTTTTATGAATCATCAGAAGAGATTGTAGCCTCAGTCGGGCTGTCTCATTTGTACCCGTGTCTGAGGATGTCCCAATCAAGCCGATCCGAGAATATTCGCGGAGGGCCAAACACAAACATCCTCGGGTTTGGGTGCCAAGCATCTGCATACATGGAGAAGCCTCCAGCTAGAAATGATCCGGCTGGTCCTCAACAGAATCCTTTTCCCCAGATCGGACGACCGGATCGACGGAAGTCGCTGCCGGTAGCCAAGTTCGTGCGAATCGATCGAATCGCATGACGATTCCTTTTTTTTTTTTTTCTCGTGGTCCGATCGAGTAGATGGATGGATTGATGCAATGAATGAAAGCTGGTCGCGTGTTTTCAGCTCGCAGACGAATGTTCCGGTAGAGCACATAGTGTCGGCCCGGAAGCA